GGTAGGTACATGAGTGTGTAGGTAGGTAGGTACATGAGTGTGTAGGTAGGTAGGTACATGAGTGTGTAGGTAGGTAGGTACATGGGTGTGTAGGTAGGTAGGTACATGAGTGTGTAGGTAGGTAGGTACATGAGTGTGTAGGTAGTTAGGTACATGGGTGTGTAGGTAGGTAGGTACATGAGTGTGTAGGTAGGTAGGTACATGAGTGTGTAGGTAGGTAGGTACATGGGTGTGTAGGTAGGTAGGTACATGGGTGTGTAGGTAGGTAGGTACATGGGTGTGTAGGTAGGTAGGTACATGGGTGTGTAGGTAGGTAGGTACATGGGTGTGTAGGTAGGTAGGTACATGAGTGTGTAGGTAGGTAGGTACATGAGTGTGTAGGTAGGTAGGTACATGGGTGTGTAGGTAGGTAGGTACATGGGTGTGTAGGTAGGTAGGTACATGGGTGTGTAGGTAGGTAGGTACATGGGTGTGTAGGTAGGTAGGTACATGGGTGTGTAGGTAGGTAGGTACATGGGTGTGTAGGTAGGTACATGGGTGTGTAGGTAGGTACATGAGTGTGTAGGTAGGTAGGTACATGAGTGTGTAGGTAGGTAGGTACATGGGTGTGTAGGTAGGTACATGAGTGTGTAGGTAGGTAGGTACATGGGTGTGTAGGTAGGTACATGAGTGTGTAGGTAGGTAGGTACATGGGTGTGTAGGTAGGTAGGTACATGGGTGTGTAGGTAGGTACATGAGTGTGTAGGTAGGTAGGTACATGGGTGTGTAGGTAGGTAGGTACATGGGTGTGTAGGTAGGTACATGAGTGTGTAGGTAGGTAGGTACATGGGTGTGTAGGTAGGTACATGAGTGTGTAGGTAGGTACATGAGTGTGTAGGTAGGTACATGAGTGTGTAGGTAGGTAGGTACATGAGTGTGTAGGTAGGTAGGTACATGGGTGTGTAGGTAGGTACATGAGTGTGTAGGTAGGTAGGTACATGGGTGTGTAGGTAGGTACATGAGTGTGTAGGTAGGTAGGTACATGGGTGTGTAGGTAGGTACATGAGTGTGTAGGTAGGTAGGTACATGGGTGTGTAGGTAGGTACATGAGTGTGTAGGTAGGTAGGTACATGGGTGTGTAGGTAGGTACATGAGTGTGTAGGTAGGTAGGTACATGGGTGTGTAGGTAGGTACATGAGTGTGTAGGTAGGTAGGTACATGGGTGTGTAGGTAGGTACATGGGTGTGTAGGTAGGTAGGTACATGGGTGTGTAGGTAGGTAGGTACATGAGTGTGTAGGTAGGTAGGTACATGGGTGTGTAGGTAGGTACATGGGTGTGTAGGTAGGTAGGTACATGAGTGTGTAGGTAGGTAGGTACATGAGTGTGTAGGTAGGTAGGTACATGGGTGTGTAGGTAGGTACATGGGTGTGTAGGTAGGTAGGTACATGAGTGTGTAGGTAGGTAGGTACATGGGTGTGTAGGTAGGTAGGTAGGTACATGAGTGTGTAGGTAGGTAGGTACATGGGTGTGTAGGTAGGTAGGTACATGAGTGTGTAGGTAGGTAGGTACATGGGTGTGTAGGTAGGTAGGTAGGTACATGAGTGTGTAGGTAGGTAGGTACATGGGTGTGTAGGTAGGTACATGGGTGTGTAGGTAGGTAGGTACATGAGTGTGTAGGTAGGTAGGTACATGGGTGTGTAGGTAGGTAGGTACATGAGTGTGTAGGTAGGTAGGTACATGGGTGTGTAGGTAGGTAGGTACATGAGTGTGTAGGTAGGTAGGTACATGGGTGTGTAGGTAGGTAGGTACATGGGTGTGTAGGTAGGTAGGTACATGAGTGTGTAGGTAGGTAGGTACATGGGTGTGTAGGTAGGTAGGTACATGGGTGTGTAGGTAGGTAGGTACATGGGTGTGCAGGTAGGTAGGTACATGGGTGTGTAGGTAGGTAGGTAGGTACATGGGTGTGTAGGTAGGTAGGTACATGGGTGTGTAGGTAGGTAGGTACATGGGTGTGTAGGTAGGTAGGTACATGGGTGTGTAGGTAGGTAGGTAGGTACATGGGTGTGTAGGTAGGCAGGTACATGGGTGTGTAGGTAGGTAGGTACATGTGTGTGTAGGTAGGTAGGTACATGGGTGTGTAGGTAGGTAGGTAGGTACATGGGTGTGTAGGTAGGTAGGTAGGTACATGGGTGTGTAGGTAGGTAGGTAGGTACATGGGTGTGTAGGTAGGTAGGTAGGTACATGGGTGTGTAGGTAGGTAGGTACATGAGTGTGTAGGTAGGTAGGTAGTTACATGGGTGTGTAGGTAGGTAGGTAGGTACATGGGTGTGTAGGTAGGTAGGTAGGTACATGGGTGTGTAGGTAGGTAGGTAGGTACATGGGTGTGTAGGTAGGTAGGTAGGTACATGGGTGTGTAGGTAGGTAGGTAGGTACATGGGTGTGTAGGTAGGTAGGTAGGTACATGGGTGTGTAGGTAGGTAGGTACATGAGTGTGTAGGTAGGTAGGTACATGGGTGTGTAGGTAGGTAGGTAGGTACATGGGTGTGTAGGTAGGTACATGGGTGTGTAGGTAGGTAGGTACATGAGTGTGTAGGTAGGTAGGTAGGTACATGGGTGTGTAGGTAGGTAGGTAGGTACATGAGTGTGTAGGTAGGTAGGTACATGAGTGTGTAGGTAGGTAGGTAGGTACATGGGTGTGTAGGTAGGTAGGTACATGGGTGTGTAGGTAGGTAGGTACATGGGTGTGTAGGTAGGTAGGTACATGAGTGTGTAGGTAGGTAGGTAGGTACATGGGTGTGTAGGTAGGTAGGTACATGGGTGTGTAGGTAGGTAGGTACATGGGTGTGTAGGTAGGTAGGTAGGTACATGGGTGTGTAGGTAGGTAGGTACATGAGTGTGTAGGTAGGTAGGTAGGTACATGGGTGTGTAGGTAGGTAGGTACATGAGTGTGTAGGTAGGTAGGTAGGTACATGGGTGTGTAGGTAGGTAGGTACATGGGTGTGTAGGTAGGTAGGTAGGTACATGGGTGTGTAGGTAGGTAGGTACATGAGTGTGTAGGTAGGTAGGTAGGTACATGGGTGTGTAGGTAGGTAGGTACATGAGTGTGTAGGTAGGTAGGTAGGTACATGGGTGTGTAGGTAGGTAGGTACATGAGTGTGTAGGTAGGTAGGTACATGGGTGTGTAGGTAGGTACATGGGTGTGTAGGTAGGTAGGTACATGGGTGTGTAGGTAGGTAGGTAGGTACATGGGTGTGTAGGTAGGTAGGTACATGGGTGTGTAGGTAGGTAGGTAGGTACATGGGTGTGTAGGTAGGTAGGTAGGTACATGGGTGTGTAGGTAGGTAGGTAGGTACATGGGTGTGTAGGTAGGTAGGTAGGTACATGGGTGTGTAGGTAGGTAGGTAGGTACATGGGTGTGTAGGTAGGTAGGTAGGTACATGGGTGTGTAGGTAGGTAGGTAGGTACATGGGTGTGTAGGTAGGTAGGTACATGGGTGTGTAGGTAGGTAGGTACATGGGTGTGTAGGTAGGTAGGTAGGTAGGTACATGGGTGTGTAGGTAGGTAGGTAGGTACATGGGTGTGTAGGTAGGTAGGTACATGAGTGTGTAGGTAGGTAGGTACATGGGTGTGTAGGTAGGTAGGTACATGGGTAAGTAGGTAGGCAGGTGGGTCTCTGGATGATGAGTACACATACAGATAGTATTATCAATCAAACAGATTGCTGCACCGTCTCCCCAATGAAGGTTTGCTACCGTGTACCACTTCTGTGTTTTGGGGATATTACCTGGTGAGTTCCCTATCTCTTCCACAGTATCACTCTCGTACCATTACCAGAAAACTAACAACGAGCATAGTGTTGTTTTTTTTTTTTTTACTTAAACATTCCACGGGGAACAAACCCTAGTACTCTCGGATCATGAAACTGTTAAACGCATGCACTAACCTCTAAGCCACCAAACCTCACTTGGTGAACTTAGATCCTATTATGCATGTGGCTAAATAAGTAAGCAGGTAGGTAGGTAGGTAGGCAGGGATTCGGGTAGGTAGGTAGGTAGGTAGGTAGATAGGTAGGTAGGTAGCTGATAGTTATGTAAGTGGGTAGGTATGTGTACGCAGACTTAAGTAAGAAGATAGTTAAATCCGTGGATAAAAGAAGTTCGACACCTTTTGTTTTGTTTTTTACCTTTTGCACGTCGGTTGTTGAATGGAACCACCGTGGTGTAGCGGCTAGACGCTCGCATGCAGATCGCAAGGTCGTGGGTTCAAGTCCTGACAGAACCAGACATTTTTTTATGGCCTTGGCTGCCAGGTCGACCCAACCTTCAATGAGTACTAGGTAAGTCCTGGGAAGTAAAGGCAGCCGGTATGATGTTGACCACATCATCAACCGAGCGCTGATTGGTCTATAAAATATTTGTCTAGCCCTATATGCCCTCTTCGTCTAAAGAGGTGGAAAATGGTTCTTTTACATATGGTAATAGCCCATGTTAGACTAATCCGTATTCAGTGGCTGAATGATTTAGCAGCATACTGGCTGCCTTTACTTCCCATATAATGTTCTGCGACCCCTTTTATGCAGGACTGAGCTGGGATCATATGCACAAAATCTCAACGAGATTCAAACTCATAACAGGACTTACCCTTGTGAGTTTTTCGGCCCCTTTTGGGGGGGGGGGAATTGACCAACTGCCCCTATCCCGAATAAGCATGTCGTAGAAGTCGACTAAATAGGGAAGTCTCTTTGAAAGTCGGAGTGCACATGCATTAGAAGCGTGGGACCAACAGTCTGCTAACAAACAAGCAAGATCTGTATAAGGGTATGCACGTAAAACTCAAGTTGTGGAACAAAACCAAAGTCTAGAAGTGGACGAACAAACAGAACTTTCCATCGGTGAACACGAAGAAGATAACAAGACTGGCAGCCTGACTACACAACAGACAACACAACAGACTACACAACAGACTACACAACAGACTACACAACAGACAGACAGAACAGACAATGCAGAGATAGGCACACCTGATTTTCCGGACCTTCTCCCTGCCCACGTAACCGCGGAACCCTGCCTGGATCTTGATGGCTGCGTCCTCTTCCCTCAACACTTTCACCTCTTCCTTGGAGGTCTGCTGCCGGAACTGCGACTGGATGGTGGTGGCTGCGTTCTCGTTCTGCTGCACTTCCTGTTTGTCTGCAGCCTTTTTCTGGCGAGTAGTCACAACAAATACCTTTTACACCTGAACATGTCGGACTTCCAGTAAGTTTAATACAATTGTAGCTAGAAAAATCTGATTCCGACAAGCCAGACAGTGACAATAAATAGTTGAAATGGTTTGAAAGCGGCGGAGATAATGCACAAACACATCCGTCAAACCACACCCCACCTACGCCCAGATGCACACGTACATGTCCCTGAAGAAAACAATTTACATTCCTTGGCTAGGGCAGGAGACGAGAGAAAAGAATAGGACGACCTGAAATAGTAAAGTACATGGGAAAAGGAAATGGAGATGAAGAAGGCAAGAGAGAGAGAAGACAGAAAAAAATAAATACATTCGCATTAAAGAACACACCTGAAAAACGTGAAAAGCATGAAGTTCCTCCTCTCCGTATAACAAATCCTGGGGAGTTTTGTAAAGACCAGATGTTGCCCATGCACCAAGATCTCTCTCTCTCTCTCTCTCTCTCTCTCTCTCTCTCTCTCTCTCTCTCTCTCTCTCTCTCTCTCTCTCTCTTTCTCGCTCGCTCTTTCTCTCGACCTGCCTTGTTTACTCCAAAGAAAAGGTAACACCAGTACGTTTGGAACAAAGCAGGATGCAAAAGCTGCCGGATCAGAAGAGCAGTGCTCTTTTTTTCCACCTGTCGGAGCTTTCGCCCTAGACCAGCTACCAGCCTAGGCTAATGACCTTGTTTTCTCTGCCATAACAAAGTTTCCAGGTTGCATTTCCTCTTCCTGTGATAAAGCTAGTTACCCCCCCCCCCTTACCCCCTCTCTTTCCCTAATGTGCTCCTCCGCCCGAAGCCGTTGGCACAATGTGGGATGTCAGGTTTGGTACACACCGCACAACATTCGGCGTCAACAGAAGACAGGTGGTGCCGGCTACTGGTATAGGTCAGCTCAATCGTATCTGAACAAGTTACAGACGACAAATAGCACCAGCTACTGTTATACGGCAGCTCAATCGTTTCCTGAACAAGTTAACAGACGACAAATAGCACCAGCTACTGTTATACGGCAGCTCAATCGTATCCTGAACAAGTTAACAGACGACAAATAGCACCAGCTACCGTTATACGGCAGCTCAATCGTATCTGAACAAGTTAACAAAAGACAAATAGCACCAGCTACCGTTATACGGCAGCTCAATCGTATCTAAACAAGTTAACAAAAGACAAATAGTACCAGCTACTGTTATGCGGCAGCTCAGTCGTATCTAAACAAGTTAACAAAAGACAAATAGCACCAGCTACTGTTGTATGGCAGCTCAATCGTATCTGAACAAGTTAACAGACGACAAATAGCACCAGCTACTGTTATACGGCAGCTCAATCGTATCTGAACAAGTTAACAAAAGACAAATAGCACCAGCTACTGTTATACGGCAGCTCAGTTTGCCTGTGCCATACCATTAAGCTAATGGATGTAAATCGGCATTTAGAGAGCAAAGAAAAACTTCAATACAAGAATACGCTACACTAGAGGACAAATGGATTGGCCTCACATCTGACTGCAGCCTCGGAAAAGATGCTTGCCAACACACAAGGTATCGTGTCATTTATGATGTCTCGCGAAACTCCATGTAGTAAGATAATTATCATTGTTGCACCCATTTGCAGTTCTGAAATAAATTACTTAGTTAAAATTAAATACGAGAGGATCGACATGATTGCATCGGGTTTATCAGTGGTAGATCAATCTCCCTCTGCAGATGGCTAGCCGCCTGCTGAGCGCGTTGCAAACAGCACAAATTCCTTAGCTCCAGTGACGATCCACATGGATTTCTGTAAAAATTAAACTTGACAACCAAATGTCGCAGCCATAAGGCGAACCCTAGACCTTCTTCAGAGCGCGTGGCAAACCGCTTGACCGACTGGTCACAGAGACAGACTGGCCACATAGACCGACTGGCCACAGAGAAGGACTGGCCACATAGACCGACTGGCCACAGAGACCGACTGGCCACAGAGACCGACTAGCCACAGAGAGAGACTGGCCAAAGAGACCGACTGGCCACAGAGACCGACTGGCCACAGAGAGAGACCGACTGGCCACAGAGACCGACTGGCCACAGAGAGAGACCGACTGACCACAGAGACCGACTGGCCACAGAGAGAGACCGACTGGCCACAGAGACCGGCTGGCCACAGAGAGAGACCGACTGGCCACAGAGACGGACTGGCCACAGAGAGAGACCGACTGGCCACAGCGACCGACTGGCCACAGAGAGAGACCTACTAGCCTTAGAGACCGACTGGCCACAGTGACCGACTGGCTACAGAGAGAGACTGACTGGCCACAGAGAGAGACCGACTGGCCACAGAGACGGACTGGCCACAGAGACGGATTGGCCACAGAGACCGACTGGCCACAGAGAGAGACCGACTGGCCACAGAGACCGACTGGCCACAGAGATTGACTGGCCACAGAGACCGACTGGCCACAGAGAGAGAGACCGACTGGCCACAGAGAGAGAGACCGACTGGCACAGAGACCGACTGGCCACAGCGAGAGACCGACTGGCCACAGTGTGAGACCGACTGGCCACAGAGACCGACTGGCCATACAGTGAGACCGACTGGCCACAGAGAGAGACCGACTGGCCACAGAGAGACACCGACTGGCCACAGAGACCGACTGGCCACACGGAGAGACCGACTAGCCACAGAGAGACACCGACTGGACACAGAGACCGACTGGCCACAGAGACGGACTGGCCACAGAGACCAACTGGCAACAGAGAGAGACTGGCCACAGAGACGGACTGGCCACAGAGACCAACTGGCCACAGAGAGAGACCGACTGGCCACAGAGACAGGCTGGTCACAGAGACTGACTGGCCACAGAGACCGACTGGCCACAGAGACGGACTGGCCACAGAGACCGACTGGCCACAGAGACCGACCGGCCACAGAGAGAGACCGACTGGCCACAGAGACGGACTGGCCACAGAGACGGACAAGCCACAAAGACCGACTGGTCACAGAGACCGACTGGCCACAGGGAGAGACCGACTGGCGACAGAGACCGACTGGCCACAGGGAGAGAGACCGATTGGCCACAGAGACGGACTGGCCACAGAGACCGACTGGCCACAGAGAGAGACCGACTGGCGACAGAGACCGACTGGCCACAGGGAGAGAGACCGATTGGCCACAGAGACGGACTGGCCACAGAGACCGACTGGCCACAGAGAGAGACCGACTGGCCGCAGAGACCGACTGGCCACAGAGAGAGACCGACTGGCCACAGAGACGGACTGGCCAAAGAGAGATAGCGACTGGCCACAGAGACCGACTGGCCACAGAGACTGGCCACAGAGACCGACTGGCCACAGACACCGAGTGGCCAGAGAGAGAGACCGACTGGCCACAGCGACCGACTGGCCACAGAGAGAGACCGACTGGCCACAGAGACCGACTGGCCACAGAGAGAGACCCACTGGCCACAGAGAGAGACCGACTGGCCACAGAGACCGAATAGCCACATAGACTGACTGGCCATAGAGAGAGACCGACTGGCAACAGAGACCGACTGGCCACAGAGAGAGAGACTGATTGGCCACAGAGACGGACTGGCCACAGAGACCGACTGATCACAGAGAGAGACCGACTGGCCACAGAGACCGACTGGCCACAGAGAGAGACCGACTGGCCACAGAGACGGACTGGCCACACACAGAGAGCGACTGGCCACAGAGAGCGACTGGCCACAGAGACCGACTGGCCACAGAGAGAGACTGGCCACATAGACCGACTGGCCACAGAGACCGACTATCCACAGAGAGAGACCGACTGGCCACAGAGACCGACTGGCCACAGAGAGAGACCGACTGACCACAGAGACCGACTGGCAACAGAGAGAGACCGACTGGCCACAGAGACCGACTGGCCACAGAGAGAGAGACCGACTGGCCACAGAGACGGACTGGCCACAGAGAGAGACCGACTGGCCACAGCGACCGACTGGCCACACAGAGAGACCTACTAGCCACAGAGACCGACTGGCCACAGTGACCGACTGGCTACAGAGAGAGACTGACTGGCCACAGAGAGAGACCGACTGGCCACAGAGACGGACTGGCCACAGAGACGGATTGGCCACACAGACCGACTGGCCACAGAGAGAGACCGACTGGCCACAGAGACCAACTGGCCACAGAGACCGACTGGCCACAGAGACCAACTGGCAACAGAGAGAGACTGGCCACAGAGACCAACTGGCCACAGAGACCAACTGGCCACAGAGACCAACTGGCCACAGAGAGAGACCGACTGGCCACAGAGACAGGCTGGTCACAGAGACTGACTGGCCACAGAGACCGCCTGGCCACAGAGACGGACTGGCCACAGAGACCGACTGGCCACAGAGACCGACCGGCCACAGAGAGAGACCGACTGGCCACAGAGACGGATTGGCCACAGAGACGGACAAGCCACAAAGACCGACTGGTCACAGAGACCGACTGGCCACAGGGAGAGACCGACTGGCGACAGAGACCGACTGGCCACAGGGAGAGAGACCGATTGGCCACAGAGACGGACTGGCCACAGAGACCGACTGGCTACAGAGAGAGACCGACTGGCGACAGAGACCGACTGGCCACAGGGAGAGAGACCGATTGGCCACAGAGACGGACTGGCCACAGAGACCGACTGGCCACAGAGAGAGACCGACTGGCCGCAGAGACCGACTGGCCACAGAGAGAGACCGACTGGCCACAGAGACGGACTGGCCAAAGAGAGATAGCGACTGGCCACAGAGACCGACTGGCCACAGAGACCGACTGGCCACAGAGAGAGACTGGCCACAGAGACCGACTGGCCACAGACACCGAGTGGCCAGAGAGAGAGACCGACTGGCCACAGCGACCGACTGGCCACAGAGAGATACCGACTGGCCACAGAGACCGACTGGCCACAGAGAGAGACCCACTGGCCACAGAGAGAGACCGACTGGCCACAGAGACCGACTAGCCACATAGACCGACTGGCCATAGAGAGAGACCGACTGGCCACAGAGACCGACTGGCCACAGAGAGAGAGACTGATTGGCCACAGAGACGGACTGGCCACAGAGACCGACTGATCACAGAGAGAGACCGACTGGCCACAGAGACCGACTGGCCACAGAGAGAGACCGACTGGCCACAGAGACGGACTGGCCACACACAGAGAGCGACTGGCCACAGAGACCGACTGACCACAGAGACCGACTGGCCACAGAGAGAGACTGGCCACAGAGACCGACTGGCCACAGAGACCGACTGGCCACAGAGAGAGACCGACTGGCCACAGAGACCGACTGGCCACAGAGAGAGACCGACTGACCACAGAGACCGACTGGCAACAGAGAGAGACCGACTGGCCACAGAGACCGACTGGCCACAGAGAGAGACCGACTGGCCACAGAGACGGACTGGCCACAGAGAGAGACCGACTGGCCACAGCGACCGACTGGCCACAGAGAGAGACCTACTAGCCACAGAGACCGACTGGCCACAGTGACCGACTGGCTACAGAGAGAGACTGACTGGCCACAGAGAGAGACCGACTGGCCACAGAGACGGACTGGCCACAGAGACGGATTGGCCACAGAGACCGACTGGCCACTGAGAGAGACCGACTGGCCACAGAGACCGACTGGCCACAGAGACCGACTGGCCACAGAGACCGACTGGCCACAGAGAGAGAGACCGACTGGCACAGAGACCGACTGGCCACAGCGAGAGACCGACTCGCCACAAAGACCGACTGGCCACAGTGAGAGACCGACTGGCCACAGAGACCGACTGGCCATACAGAGAGACCGACTGGCCACAGAGAGAGACCGACTGGCCACAGAGAGACACCGACTGGCCACAGAGACCGACCGGCCACACGGAGAGACCGACTGGCCACAGAGACCCACTGGACACAGAGACCGACTGGCCACAGAGACGGACTGGCCACAGAGACCAACTGGCAACAGAGAGAGACTGGCCACAGAGACAGACTGGCCACAGAGACCAACTGGCCACAGAGAGAGACCGACTGGCCACAGAGACAGGCTGGTCACAGAGACTGACTGGCCACAGAGACCGAC